AATGACCTCAACGTAACTTAATTACCTCTTTAAAGGCAGTGTTTCCAAATAAGGTCACCTTCGGAGGTATTGGGGGTTAGGATTTCAACAGGTCAATTTTGGAGGGACACAACTCAGCCCATAACAAGTTCCAACTCTGACTAGGCTCTTTTGTACTTTGTGGGGATGATCTCTAATATTTGCAATGATGCTGCAAAGCAGATACTATGACCCTGGCTATTTATGTCAGGAAACTGAGGCTCAGCAGGGCTAAGTATCTCACCCACAGTTAAGTGGTGAACTGGAAACAGAACACAAGCCAGTTTTGCTTCAAAGCAGGTGCTCTTTACTCTATATCTATTATAGGAAGGAGGGAATCACCTGAGCCTAAGGCCATCAAATTTATTCTCATTCCAAGTTGGAGCTAAAATAGCTCTGCCTTTTTTGGTGGTGGTGATTGTTCCGGAGAACAATGCTCTCCTGAAGACCAGGATGAGCCAATGTCACAGTGGTTGGACAAGCTACTCAAAGGAACTTTCACAAGTGGCTCCAGGGGCTGCTAAATGTCACCATTTGGGCTGCTTTGTTCCCTTTGAAACAGAGACAGCTGCCTCTCTGCTTATGCTGTTCTCTTTTGCCTGAAATTCTCTTTTCTTTCTCCATTATACACTGAAGCATTGCCCATCTTTCAAGATTTGGCCAGTGACCTTGGTCACTCCAAATCTCATTCAACACCACCTCCCTCCCCGGTCTTCAGTTCCCGTCAAGCTAATCACTCGCACACTGCAGCTCACTTTAGAGACTCTTAGGGATGGATCTCACTCTGCTACCTACTAACTGGATGGCCTGGGGGAAATTCTGTAACTTCTCTGGGACTTCATTTTCTCATCTATGAATTAAAATTAAAATTAAAATACCTACCTTACAGCATTATTGTGAGAGGTAAGTAAGTGAATTAACATTTATTGCACTTAGCACTGTTTGGTACATAGTAGGTAGTCATTTAGTAAATAGTGCCTTTTAAACTTCTGTTTTTCTTTCAGTCTATATTATTTTAATTGCATGTTTTGTGCCTTCCTAATGAGATTGAGAGCTTCTTGGGGGCAAAAACCATGACTCATTTCGATTTGTGAATGCACAACTTTGGGCTTATAAAAAGCTATCCGTATTTGTTGGTCCATAAGTGCACAACACATTTGACAGCATATGAGACATATAACACGAGCTCAAATAACAGCCTAGGTGATTGAACTGCATCATAACTATTGGATAGACCACTTCTAAGTCCATACTCCCATTAATCCATTTACTCACCCATCACTGACTCATTGCCTCCTAAATGCATCCCCCTGAAGTTTCTATTTCTACATAATTCCTTTAGTAGAGGGAGAGCTACAGGCTGGTGATGGAAAGTGCCAGAAGTGTGCAGGGGAATGTGGAAAGAGCAATGAAATGCTAAAAATATGGATCTGGAAACCTCAAACCTTGCTGTACATCAAAAGCAGCTGAGATGCATACAGACTCTTAGCTACCACCCCCCAGAAACTTTGACTCATTTGATCTGGGATAATATTAATGCAACAAACAAATAAACAGAAAAAGAAACTACCCATGTGATGGTTCTGATGCTCAGACCACTAAAGCTGATGATACACAAATACTTCAGAGAACTTCCTTCGAGGGTGCTGGTACCTGGTGATGCTAGGAGAGGGTCCATGTGCCAGGCTAAAGCCAGGAGCAGAGCCCTGGACTGGAGGAAGGAGAAGGCACCTGAGCAGAGGCTGATCAAATACAGGCTCACTTTTACTTCTTACTCTTTTACTCCCCAAGAGTTGCTAAGTAGAGTATCAAGGCAATGCTCCCCGGGGGAGAGGGGCTGGGAATACCAGTGAACTCAGGAAGGCAGACCTGTGTAAAGCTTAAGAAATAAATCTTTTCCAGAAAGAATCCCACTACTACCCTATTTAGAAAGAGCTTGGAATCACAATTTGATGATGACATTGGGTCATTGAACTTCACAGATGTGGTCATTTTGTGAACATGCTTTGAACTTGCAATGTACAAAGGCCCATTTATTTCCCTTCCTACTGAAATTCTGGGCAGGTCAAGGCTGATGAAGGATTTCCAGGAACGCAGCTGATCTTAAGCATCAGTTGTTTCTAAAACTTGGGAGAACCGTTCCCTGATGTGTTTTGGACCCTTTTCACAATGAGGCTCCTGATGCATAATCACTCTGCAGGAGAATGTCCTTAGAGACCACTTCAAGGAACCCAGACTCTCACCCTCCAAATGTAGTGCTGCTGAGAATCTCAATGACTTATTCCCGGCATATGATGTCAGGGTGCCTCTTTCTCAATTCTAACTTCACAGAAAGGAAAATAGAGTCAGAGGAGACCAGGAAGTTGCTCATCACCAAAGGGTTAGTATTAGGCATGAAATCATATTTCCTAGCTTTTTCTAAGATACAGCTGCCTCATACAGATTGGTGAGTTTTAGTGCAGAGTATTCAGGACTTATATTTTTAAAAGAGAAAGAAATTGGGAATGTTATCAGATCATTTTCTTTCTCTCTCTGCCCCTGTTTTTGTGTCTCTTAGCTGTTGTCTGCCCTTTACTCCAGAAATTTGAAAGAAATATGAACTGCTAAGGGATTTACAATAAAGGGAGCTCTACTGAAGACACATTGTCTTGAATGTGGAATAAATGCTTTAACTGGATGCATTTAGAGATTTTTCCCTCCATTACCCAAGTTAAACAGCTTCACTGGCTTCTCCACAGACAAGAATAGATGTGAGCTGGAGGGTTAATGAAGTAGGTAAGAAAAGTTTGTCTCAGGTCTCTCCCAAAATGTAATAGCCACCTCAGAAGCTGAGCTGATCTTTGGCTTGTATCACTGTTTTAATTGGTCAGGCTCGTGACATACTGGTTGTGAAATATTTTGAGACTACCTTTCTCAATGTAGTGGCATTCTTCTTTCAAGTGGAGAATCCCTCATCCTTGTGAAACTGATGACTGTGTGTAGCAATTATCATTATTCTGCATCTAAATAACCCCTCCCCAGAGTGGGGTTCCACCTACATCTCTATTTCTACCGACTTGTGATTTTGTTGTCAATAAATATGTTAATAGAAAAAAGAATGTTGATTTAATAAAGGACTGCTGTGGGGTAATCTAGGGGAAGATGGGGACAATAGTGGCTGGTGGCCTATATTAAAGGACCATAAATAACCATTTGGAAACATTATAATTCTTGCTAACTTGACAAAAAAGGCCAACATTGGGCAACGATGGAAGGATATGAAGTCAGCTTTAGTCTTTCTAATATCTGAGTCTGTCCTTGGGTGTCGCATACTAAGGGAGGCTCATTCAGTTACTAAATCTGATTAACTGCCTCAATAGGGAACCAGCTAGAATAGCGCACTAAATTTGGGCCTGGAAAGATTAAGTTGCCACCTAAATGCTCGATTCATCCCCAAAACGGTTGCTTCACCAAGCTAAATCGGCCTGCCCAATTCCCACAAAGACCCACCCCCTTTCAACAAGGGAAGAAAAACCTCTAATAGAGAACTAAGCAATGAGTTGCTATGATTTCTCTACAGCAGACATATCTGATTTTAAATATCTATTCCTGTAACCTAAATTGCAAACATTTTTGAAAAGCCATTGAGTTGCAGAATTTTAAAAATGTATTTGATTGCCAGACTTGCCAATTGGGTCAGTTTTCCAGAGCCTTATGCTTCCGTCTTTACTACTGGGGAAGAGGAAAAGGAGGTGGCCAACAACTGGTGATTGAAACACAATTCCCCCTGGCATGTAAGTTTTGGCTAGCCTCTGTGTGTTATCCTGGCCACAGTCCCGTGGCATTCCCTGCAATGCCTGGGCCAAGGCCTGCCCTTCCTGATGGTTGCCCTCCGGATTCCACTAGAAATCAAGGTGAAAACCACTGCAGACTGCATCCCTGGAGCTCTTCAGGTTTTTAATTGCATCTGAGTCTCAGAAAAGTCTGTGAGAGAATTAGAGGAGAAATAATTATACCCACCTCTCAGATGGGGGAACTTGGACTCAGTGAAGATAAGTGACTTACTCAAAGAAGCACGATTAGTTTATAGTAATCCTGAATCCTAATCTTTATCTCTGTCTCTTAGTCTAATGCTCTTTCCAGAACAATACAAGGACGTAGAAAAGTCTGTAAGGAAAGGAATCTGCACAAAGTAGTTTGTTCTGGTTCTCAGATCCATGAGGGTTGGGATTCTTCCATCTGATACTCTTCCTTTTAAATGCCACCATAAGTAATCTGGCCACTAAAATCTTTGTTTTCATCACCAGCATTGTAAAAAGAAGGCTGTCAAAAATCAATACATAGGATGGGATATATTATGATATTAATATTCTATGTTACATAATATAGTATGACTAGATTATGAAATACAACTTATAATTTTATGACTTAAATTCAGGATTTTCCATACATCGGTCGTAGCCCATTAAAATGGGTCTTGAAGTCAATTTAATGGGTTGCTACCAGGATTAAAAGAAAAATAGGGTAAGATAAGGTAGACTAGAATTGAAATTGTCAGAGTGTGTTGCATGTAGAAAAGGTAAGTATTGTTCTTTGAACATTTTGCTTACATATTATGTATACTAAATCACAATGTTAAGTATTTCTTACCAGAGTCTTTCCCTTTTTCTCACTTCCCCTCTCTCTTCTCTTTCTCTTTTCTCATCCCTTCTCTCTCTCCTTCTCTATGTATATAGAAATGTACCCAAATGTCTTTCGCCTTTGTCCTATTTACAGGTACCATCCACCATTCTCCCCAACCCTCATCCTTCTTGACATTTCCCAAGGTTCTGGAGTACACACTGTTCTGTAAAGTTACTCCTTCCTTTCTCCCCTCTATTGAAAAGGTCCTTTTGCAGTATGACCTTCAAGACAGGATTTGCAAGCTCTTTCCATATTTCGTAAATAAAATGCTCTATCTCTAAACCATTTCATTTCCATTCCAGGCAAAGCCACTTGAAGAAATGAAATCCCCTAGGAGAACCATGATGTCATTTGTGATCATTGTGATTTATTCTTCCCAAGTTACACTGAGCTTGAATTTAGAGTCTATTGTTCATCCTTTGGTGAGTAAATCCATATCTGTTATATTTTTCCTTGTCACATTTTTCTGATTTCCTGGAATGTCACAGATAAAAATTAGTTTCAAAAATTTTTTGAGAGCCTTCGAGAAAATGTTGCAGATGGGGATGAGGATGGTGAACATAAATGGATATTAGCGTATCTACTGGGCTACAATTTACCATACTCAGAAATCGGTGGTGGTAGTATCAAGTGAACATCCCTCAAGCTTACTCCCATAACTAAATTGCCATCTCTACACCCAAAGCTGCACCCCTGTGAAACTGACGACAATGACTTTATGCAGATTTAGAGGACTGTTCTTGAAGGATTCATTTTAATTGGAGCATCAGGCTAGAACACGTTTCAAAAAGCATTAATCTGTATGTGTACTTGTGACAATTACAGGTAGCTATATCTAAAGGGGCCATTGCTATCACTTAAGCTTTTCACTGACAAATTATCCAGGTCGTTTTGTCTCTGGGAAGTTAATGGGAGTTTAGCTTGACAAAAGGGGTGATAAGTACTCCTTTATTTTTTATAAGAATTATTGGATTGTTCCTTCCTTAGCTTACTCCACTTAACATGCACCAAAGACAGAGTGTGTTAGAGGTTATGAAATCTTGGGAGACTGATGTAATTGTCTCTGTGTCTCAGTGTCTTCCTCTGTAAAACAATGATAATAATAGTACTGATTTCCTATGATTGCTATGAGAATTAAATTAGTTAATATTTATAAAATGTCTTAGAACAGTTCATGGCACATATCAAACATTATAGCACTGTTTGCTATTATTAGGTCTCTTAGTGCATTTTTTTCCTACTCATTTTTTAAAAAGATATTTTAGTGTTATTTTATTTATGCTGTCACTAGTGGTTTTTTTAAATATATACATATATAAATCTATCTATCTTCATTGGTAGATTTTAATACTGTAAAACATTTCTTTTTTTCCCTGCTTGGTACTTTTAAATGATAATTCTTTGCCTTCTATTCCAGTTGTCAATTCTGTTTTCGTATTTATGTTTGTCTGATCTTTGTCTTTCATTTTTTGTTTAGACCTTAATATATCATGTTGCTTTGATGCTTCTTTTATAAACAACATGTGTTTAAAGGTTTTTTTTTTCTTTTAAATCAAATCTGAGTAAATCTGACTTTGTGGAATATAATTTATTAACATTTAATGTCATTTAAAATGCTTGATCTTACTTTCAGGATTTTGTTTTATGACTTTATACACTTCCTATTTTCTGTTTGAGTGTCTTTCATTGTTTAACTTAGATTTCTTTGTCTTTTTCTTTATATCTCTCATGACTCGGGAGGTATATTTTATGTCTCTTCTCCCAAACTCCAGAGTGCAGGGTATAACCCGTACAGTCATGTGCAGTGGTTTATTCATATAAATAGAGAAAAATGTTTATGTTTCCTGTGGAATCACAGGGTCAGTCCAGTTACCCCAGGCCTGTGCGGAGAAAGACAGAACATGAGGTGATGTCAGCAATGGGGTTAGTGTTACCTCTGTTCCAGAATTTCTTAGTGTTCATGGCTGCAGCCGTGCCCTCTTACTGTACCAGGCTGGTCTTCATTTCAGTGGCCCTAACAGAGCCCTTCCATCTGCCTGGTGGCACAGGCTGGTCAGGGATAAGCCACTGACTTCCTAGGGATGCTAGTAGAATTTAAACTTTACTTTCCTGGAAGGCCCCACCACTACTCCAAAGGGCCTCACTTTGTTTCCCCTAGATCTGCCTTCAAGATACAGTATCTTTGTACAGCCTAAAGGCCAAAGACCCCCATTGGAGAAGTGTACTTAAACCTGCCTTATTAGCTTATATGGCCCTAAGCTGCCACCCAGCTCCCGCAGCTGAACTTCTACCAGTTTAAATGCAAAACATGGTGATGAGCTTTTAAAAAAAAATTATAGTAAATACACATAAAATTTACCAACTTGGCCATTTTTAACTCTTCAGTTCAGTAGTGTCAAATACATTCACTTAGTTGTACAATCAATCTGTAGAAATTTTCATCTTGCAAACTGAAAACCTATACCTATTAAATAGCAATTCCCCATTCCCCCTCCCCCTGGCACCTGGCAATTACCATTCTACTTTCTGTCTCTCTGGTTTTGACAACTCTAAGTGCCATGTATAAGTGGAATCATACAATATTTGTCATTTCATGACTGGCTTATTTCACTTTGTATAATGTCCTAAAAATGTATCAATGCGGTAGTATGTGTCAGAATTTCCTTCCTTTGAATAATGATCTATTGTATGTATATCCCACATTATTCATTTATCTATCAATGGACGCTTGGGTTGTTTCACCTCTCAGTTATTATGAATAATGCTGCTATGAACATGGGTGCGCAAATATGGGGTGATGGGCTTTTGAAATTCAATGATACAGCTTCTCAAACGCCACTGTGCACATGCATCCCCCTTTTTAAAATGAAAGTTTCAACTCTGGGGTGGGCTCCCCCATATTGCCCTTGTCCCTGCTCCAAAGATTGGACTTTGAACAGCAAAGCTGTAGACTCTCAGCTTTGACCTCAGCCTTGAGTCTGGAGCCTGGCTCTGACCCTCATCAGCTTTGAAAACTTAGTTGTGTTTCCTCATCTCCTTAACTTTTTCCCTCTACATAATATCAGAATGAATAGTAGCTCCTTCATCTGTTTCTTGTAAGGATTGAATGTTCTCATACATGTATGTCTTAGCACAGGGACTAGCACAGAGCAAGTATCTAAGATTTGGTAGTTAGTTTTACTATTCTAGTACGAAATAAACCTATGTTAATATTCCAGTGCAAAGAGACATTCCAACAGGATCTTGGGCTAAGACAATTATTTAACATAGACACAAAGATGTTAAGTCTGGGATTCTAGATCGAGACAAAGAAAAAAGAATAAAAGGGCCTTGACAAGGAGAAGTGAGATCTGGCAACAACAGCTGGCATCTTTGGGGACACAAATTCCATGGGGGATTTTCTTTTCTACACATAAAATGCCACCTCTCATTATTGACTGATTGTCCACTCCCATTGTAGGCCACCACCTCCACCCACATAGTTATTTTGTAAAGTCATCATGTCAGACAGGTGGGGCGTTTCCTGAAATTAGTGACCTTGTGTCTTCCTCCTGAAGCTTGGCTATCAGGAAATTCCCCCTGGATTGAGCTGGGCTTTGTTGCTCAGACACTCATCTGGGTACTTCTGCAGGGATGAGCTGAAGAAGGCCCAGCTGGAGGCTCTGTTATTGTATCTGAAGAAAATGTTTAGCTGAGCATTGGGAGCCCCTGGAAGGATCTATGTTTTTCTCATGAGTTCTCATAGGTCCCAAAACTGGGGTGACATGAGGACTTAAGAGTGCAAGCCTGGCCCCCTGTGACCCCTAGGCCAGCCGGACACGTAGGTATACACCACTGACCAGAGACTGCACAGGCATTTGCTGTGCCTCGGCACATTACTAGTCACTGCATAAGAAACTGAGGCTTAGAGTGAGTGCATGACTTTTCCAACCAGGAAGATCTGAGACTGTGGGATTCAGTTCTTGGAGTGACTCCAGCATTTGCCTTATTGAAATCCGGGCTCCATGACTTGGCAGCCAGCTCTTTGTTCCTTCTCAAATCTGAGAAGGCCAAGGGTAGTCACCACCACCACTGGGGAACTCCTCAGAGGTTTTATTGCTTTCAGTGTGTTTTTCCTCCATTTTCCCCATGATTGTAGGGCTCAAAGCATAGATAATTCTCAAAAAAAGTTGTGAATCCTAACTGGACAACAGAGAGGCAGTAGGCGACAAGAGTTCTGGAACCAGCACTTTGCAAAGATATCCCCTGAAAGTTCTAGATAATCACAATAAAAATTCAGAAAACAGTTAAAAACCAGTGTCTCTCAAAAAGTGACCTCACATCCAGGGATGAGCAGGTTAAATAGTCAGTTTTCTTCACCCTACCCATTACCTGCTAAATCAGACTGGGGGAGGGGAGACAAGTGACCCTTATGCTCACAAAGATTTGAAATACTTTGCATGAGAGAATTGAAATGTATCTTGACTTTAGCGTACGACTGCCAACAGAAAGTCTTCAATTCTTTAGTCCTACTGGAAAAATGGAGAAAATGAAATCTTGACCTGGGAGAGCTGCCTAGTGGTGACTGCCAGTGATCATCTTCTCAAAGGCTGAGTTCCCCAACCAAAGCCTGTGAAGAGTAGACAGAGAAAGCTGTCTACTTTCGGGCATTGACTTTGCTCCTTCTCAGTTCCTGCACATTTCAGTACAGCTAAAATAACCTCCCTGCAAACAAAGCAGCCACTGGGTTTTTGAAATTCAAATCATCATCCATTTTCTATTCATTTCATCAGGAACATTTATGAACTATCACAGGTACACAGTTTTTCTCCCCAGTTCCGATGGATGTTAATACTAGTCATTGAACAGAAAGAGGGGACAGAAGTAGGCAATAGAGAAGAAAAAATGCTAGGTAAAAAGAGACCGGGTCCCTGAGACGAACCCACAGTTTCCTGAGGGATCTCCTGATAAGATGATGCAAGGCCTTTGTGCACAGACTAGCTGGGTTCAAATTTTGACTCTGCCATTTAAAAGCTGTGCTACTTCCACCAAGATATTTGACCTCTCTGTGCCCATCCATGTTTTCTGATGAGTGAAATGTGGCTAATCTGCAATTTAGGCTGTCATGAGAATTAAATAAGTTAGCACACATCAAGGACTTAACAGTGCCTGGCACAAGGTGTTGAATACATCTTAGAAATAATTGTTTCTGTTATTGCTATGATGTGAGATAATAAGAAAATAACGGTAGACACCGCAGATGGCAAAATGAGCTTTGCCTCGGGAGGAGTTCATAGGTATGTGGAGTTCACAGTGAAGGGCACACTACGGTTGGCAGGGATTACCTGAGGAGACTTCATAGATTTGGGGCTCTTCTATTGAGCCTTGAAAGGAGTCGAATTAGGTAGCACATCAAAGGAAAACCCAACTGGAGGCAGGGATGAGTTAGGAGACCTGTGTCAGGTCGGGGTGTGGTTACCAGATGGGGAACTTGCAGTGACTCCAACAGCAAAGCCAATCAATGTCAGTTCTTAAACAAAGAAGCCACATAAAGACGGGAGATGATCTTTATAGAGGTAAAGCAAGAGGCAGTATGTAGACAGAGGGGTCTATGTGAATGGTGCCCCCAGAACAGTATGATGCTCTGCCGTGGAATAACATTTACTATGTCACTAAAACTAGTCTCAGTGCTTTGCATTTATTAATCATTTAATCCTCACAACCACCTAATAAGGCAAGCTATTTTATCCCTATATTATGGGTGAGTACCAAGGCACAGAGAGGTTAAGTAACTTGCCCAAGGCCACACAGCCATTTTATGGCAGAGATCAGATTTGAATTCAGTCTGTAGAGTCCTCGTTCTTAACTATTGTACTATATGATGTAACAAACATTTATTAAGAGCTTACCATGTGTCACATTGCAGATTGCTTAATTCTCATAACAATTCTATGAGGTCGGTACCATTATTATTCCATTTTACAGAAAAGAAAACAGAGGCTCAGAGGGGATAAATAAATCTCTCTTATGGTCACATAGCATATAAGTGGCACAGCCTTGTACCCAGGTAATCTGACTCAAGAGCTGGCTCTCGTGGCTCTTGTCACAGGAAGCAACAATGGAACCATCCGAGGGAAAAAAGATCAGGGAATGAGAAAATAATTTCTAAGCATGGACAATCTAAAATATATCTAACGACGCAGAAATTTTGGGGTGGGAACAGGTCGAGTGCTGAGAAGAGGTCGTGAGACTTGTCGAAAAGGTCACTGAAATGACTCAGGGTTCAAGACTTAGGCAGAAAGCAGATTTAGAAAACACCATAATTTACACTTCTTGACAGGACTCAAACTGCTGGAACTCTGAGAAACTCAGATACGGTGATTTCTTCCATTCCTGGAACTAGAGACTGGTCTTTAAAAAGTGAATTCCCAGGTCACTCCATTTTATTTTCCTGACCATTGTGCTGCTGTTTACCCAACATCCACTGGGCTCAGGTGCTAACCCAGAATCTGCAGCCCTGAACTCCGCTTTAACATTTTGGGGCATGTGAGCAGAAAGCTGTCATGAAAAAACAAACATCTCTAACACTAACTGATGATTTTCTCAAATGCCCTTTCAGATTCTCCACGATCATGAACTAGCAGGGGAAGAGCCACTAAGGCAAAAAAGAGCAGGTATGTAAACTCTTTGCTTGGTGATCACTTCTACTAAGTCCGATCAAATGACACTTGCTATAACTTTTCAAAACTCTGCAATCCACATAATTCAGTCTCCAAGCACATCAGGATCTAATTTCTAGAAGTAATTACGAAGGCACTCCATTCTCTATTCTATCAAATGGCGTTAAACGATCTTAGCAACGCATTACGATCCTCCTTTTCTCTCCTCTCACCACTCCCCACATTCTAGAGATTTCCCAGTGCCTCTCGCTCTTCAGTTGCTCTCTGCCACCATCAAGCCTGCTTCTCTAATCTCATCCCAGCAGCCTTTCCTTTTGTCCTTTTTTTTTTTTTTTGGATCTCTTCTGTTCTCACTTATCATTTTATTTTGTGGATAACTTAACCACTCGACTCGAGTTCTCCTCTGTCTCCCATTCTAATTTCCCCACTAAATTCCAAAAATGGTCTGGAAAATATAGGGCTCCATGCTTTTGGAGGGTTGAGGACAGGTGAGAGCTGTGAACATTCACTAGTACACTGATCCTCAGTGTCCTGTCCTACATGCAGAACTCTGGGCAGGTGTCAGTATATGTCTGCAGGCTGGCTTTTCCCAGTATCACATCCTCCTAATTTCCTCATAGTAACCTTTCAAAAGCATCAGTCTGATTGTGTTAGTTCCCTGCGTGAAATTCTTCATGGGTTCCCAATCGCCTTGGAGGTAAAATCTAATCACCTGCTGGAGTCTTACTAGACCCGCATGTTTTTTCTCACGTGTTCTCCTGTTCCCTTTCACACGGTCGATGCCCCACCTACCATCCCTCTTTGTCTGGGGGACTCCAATTTAAGTCTCAATTCACAGGGGCCTCTGCCATGTAAGGTCTTCCATTGAAACCCCAGACAGGGAGGGGCTGCTTTTCTGAGTTCCCATTGCCCTTGATACATTCCCATAGCACAACATTTGTCCCAGTGTATTGTAATTATTTTGCTTCCTGTTTGTCATCCCCAGTAGACATGAGCTCCCTTGAACTCTCTTCCTCTCTCTAGCCTGGCATCTAGCCCAGTTTCTCAATAAATGAGTGAACAAATGAAGAGTGCACGTCTCTGTCATAGCCGCCTCTTTGTGAGTTCAGAGGATATGTTCTTATTGTTAAGAGTCTGCTGGCTTAGAGGCTATAGCAACTGTGTGGAAGGTAAAACTTCTGAACTATAGCATTGTGACTGAATCATTTTCCAGGCATGCCGTGACTTGGTCTCTTCAGTCTTGTGGTCTAAAGGAGATGCTGAGCTGCCAAAGAGAGTAGGCTTGCCCTGAGGTCAAGGTAGAGGTATCTGTTAGAGCCCCTCACAGTATGAACTAGACTCGACTGTTGTGAAATGAGAATTTGACCACATTTTATTAAGCTCTCAAAATGCTCCTTGGAAGGTCATACCGCCAATCACTTTCTCTTCCCTTTTCTTTTCTTTCTTTTCTTTTTCTTTTTCTTTTCTTTTCTTTTCTTTTCTTTCTTTTCTTTTTTTCCTCTTCCCTTCCCTTCCCTTCCCTTCCCTTCTCTCCCTTCCCCTCCTCTCCTCTTCCCTTTTCTTTTCTCTTCTCCTATTCCCTTTTCTTTCTGCTTCTCTTTCAGCCTTATTCTCCCTTCCCTTCTCTCCCTTCCCCTCCATTCTCCCCTCCCCTCCCCTCTCCTCTCCTCTTCTCTTTTCTCTTCTCCTCTTCCCTTTTCTTTCTGCTTCTCTTTCAGCCTTATTCTATGTCCCTATGCGATCTTCACTTCTCTTTTCTTTCCTCCTTCCTTGAGTTGGTCTGTAGCACAGACGGAACTTTCTGTGCTTTAAAACAAGCATCATTACATCTATTCCGTCCCTTGAGCCTTCCTGCACCCCATGACAGGAATAGGGCCAGAAAGACTTTGAAAGGCTTTTTTTTTTTTTAAGTCAAACCATTTGTGGGTGAGTTCTAGCTCCAAGTTTCTACCAGCTTCTTTTAGGGCTCAAGTTATCAGCTTCCTCAGGGGCCATTGGTGATGGTACAGCTATAAAAGTAACGTCTTCCTGCACTTCTGAGCCTGGCTGTTTATGATCTGTGGCAACAACATGAGAGGAAATCGCTTCTACATCTAAGGCTTTGACATTCCAAAATTTTTCCAGATATGCTTTCATTAAAAACAATCATGAGTATGATAAATCACAATGAAAACATTTTTTCTGCTTATTATACATGATCCTCTGTGCTCTTGGGCCTCAACTCACCATCTGCAGAAGATGGATTGGCCTTGGTACTTTTATAAAATCACTGAAGTGAGAAATGGCCGTGGAAAGGCCTGGGCGCTAGGCTCAGATACCTGAATGTAAGTTGCGGTTAAGAGCATCGCTCTCCAGGAAAACTATGAAAGAAGGTAGTAGGAGGATCATATTGAGTTGATAGTGCTCAGAGGTGTCTGTGTTCTGCTTGGTGTGTTAGGTAAGTGAGGTAATAGGATTGGGCTCTGGTTTTCAGAGTAATTCCTTTTATATATACATATAGCTCCTTTTCTGGACCCTTAATGCCAGAAAGGGACAAATAACGGTTATGAGAGAAAGAGAATTCTCAAAAGTAATTACCTTTTGTCACACTGCACCAAGTCTTTAGAGTATGAAATAGAATCGTCTTTAAAGGCAGGATCAATATTCATATTCTCAGACCACTATGACTTCCTAAGTCACTTTGGTCCGTTATATAGTTTCATTGGGCCCTTGAGATACACACACACACACACACACACACACACACACGTATATACACACATACAAATCACATATATGTGTATTGCGTATATCACACACAAATACAATATACACATTACATATATGCACATATATGTATATATTACACATATACATATTACATACATACCACATATATGCCACATATATCACACACACAAACACACACACACATATCTCATTACCTCACAGATTTGTTAAGAGAATTAAGTAATATCATGTACATATTACTTTTAAAAATGTTAATGTGGTTATCTGGGCAGTTATTTATTTTTTGTTTGTTTTAATAGTTTTTTATTAAAAACAGTCAATTGATTTATTTAAAATAATATGTTTGAAAGAGACTTAATATCCCTGGTACAGAGAAGTTTCCATAGAACTACTAAAGGCAGCAGGATGGATGGCATGATAAAAGATTTAGAAAAACTACTTTAGGAAAACTATTTCAAAACTCTAATGGAGAAGAGAAGTCTGTAAAAACCTCAGAGACCAGAGACAAGAATTAGTGTGGATCTGCCTTTTAGAGCAGAGTGGCTTTTGGGGAGCAGAGGAAGATAACAATGGATTGAAGCATCAAGAATTGTGTCCTGATTATACCAGGAAGTGGATTCTAAGCAGTGGAGAGGCTGACACAGAGAAGGGACTGATGGAAGCCATCTGAAGTGAAAGTTAGCCTGATGGTTATGGCCAAGTGGATTAGATGAGGAAGTCAGTACCCAGGAGATCAGCAAGGAGGTTTAGCAGTATGGACCAGCATCAGCCTCGGCCCCTGCACTGAACCAGAAAAGGGGGAAAAGAAGTGCTTGTGAACGGCATGTTGAAAAGTGGATCAAAAGGACCTGGAGGCAGATTTGACATGGGGTGAAGAGGAGTGATGATCCATATGACATGGTAAGGGTGCACAAACCTGGGTAACTGGGGGATGTGGAGGCCACAAGTAGAAACTGGAGTCGAGATGAAAATCTTATTTTGGAGGTTTGCCAATAAGCTAGAAATTCGGTCTTAAGAGTAATCATCGTAGGGGACCGAAAGTTGAAGTTATTGGTTAGAAGTCTCACAAATGTGTCCTCTATGTCAATTTGTTGTCCATGCCAGGTTTCTGAGCTTGACTCAGAATGTGTCTTTGGCACTGAGTTGAAGAAGAGTCCCCATTGGTTTTTTCCTTGGCTTCTAAAGGAATGGTTGGTAGAAGACAAAATTTTTAGAAAGGAAGATCCTGGATGTCCTAACCCTGTGCTGGAGGTGCTTTCCTTTTCACATCTATTTAGTGAGCGCAAAGTTCCTACTAGTTTGGGTTGCTGGCTGTCATTGTGGAGATCCTAACCTTTCTGCAGATCTGGCAGCCCAAGTGTCCTGGCCCTTTTTAATTTGGGTCCAGGAAATGCTGTGCATTTTCCATGTTGAGGAACAGATTTGGAGGTTTTCATGGCTTTAAACTTTCTGGTGATAATGTGTGGCATTTAGTGCTCCGAGCAGGCAATGATGTTGGCAGAGTAAGATGAGAAGGCCGGGTGCCCTTGGTCTGGTGTTTGGGTTTGGTTTTAAGGTTGACCTTGAATGTTGGGAGTGCTTTTCAAAAAATGTCTCATTAATGTTGTTTGTTTGTTTAACGATCTCAAGTTGAGACTTGATTGGAAGAGCATTAGTTTTTCTTGACCTACCAGCAGACATCTGTATAAAATATGATTATTACGTTTTTTTATAATCAGTATTATTATTTCTACCTACTGATTCACAATAGCTACGATAGGCCAGACAATTTGCTAGGAGTCTTCATATAGTATTCCATCTCCTTAACAACAATTTTGCAAAGAAAATATTACCCCTGATTTACAGACGAGCAAACATGGCTCACAAAGGTAATGTTCTGCCCAGGTAAGAGGGCATTCGGCCCAGCTCTCTCTGCCTCAAAGGCCATGCTCATATTTAAGAGTCATAGTTTTCAACGTATGCTTCTGGCCTATGAGTGAGATTCCATTCCGTGTTTCTTGGAGCAGCTTTGCTGAGTGAGGGGCACTGGCATCACTGTTCATCTTACTAGGAAAAGAACTTTATGTGGGGCTGACTTTGGTGATTTGGGTATATGGTGAGCCAGTAGAATTGATTCTTTTCCCCAGACTTCACGGCCCGGGGTCTAATCTACACCTTCTTCATCTATACCTGCCAGGTAAGCCACAGGCAGGAGTTTTGATGGTTTACCCTTGTGTGAACAAATCTTTCTAAAACCTAAAGGGAGAATAGGATCTTTGACTATCTGCTGATATTGGTAGAGTAGGATACAGATGATGCTGCCAAATTGCTACCTACTAGAACATGTCAAGAAACAAGTGGAAGAATAAGCATCTTTTAATATTTACCTGCTACAGAGCTAAGAGGGAGAAATAAGAGAGCCAAATCCAGTGGTAGAGCAGCATTGACCCTTTGGTCAAGAGAAAACCACACCCAACCTCGTTTCTCCTGGGTAACGTTAGCAGACTTCATTTTTGTTGTTGTTGTTGTTGTTTTGCAGATGGGGGAATCAATGTATGTATCTACATAGGCTCTGACATTTAAGAAGTCAAAATTCCCATTAGAGCTTCCAGGCAAAAATAGTACTGTTTGCTTAAACAGCTGTGATTAAGACAGAACTGCTTGTTGCAGTCTGTGGCCAACTTTCCAGAAATGTCTCTTTAAGATAAGTGTTGTGTGGCGGGGCAGTGATTTATGGGAAAGGAGAGGGGAAATCCTGGTTGGTTTGTGCCTCCTGGGTCTGCTGATAGGCCTCCGTCTGTGACACTGATGACACCTGGAATGTGCTACCTTTCACTCGGGGCATCGGTGAGTCAGAAAAATTCAGACAAACAACACCAGGACAAAGGAACCCTAGAAAAAGAAAACACATTAAACTGTCTGGGATCAGATGGTCCAGCGGCAGCAGAGAAACGTGGAAAGGCCTCTAAAATACACAGTCACAGAGAGGTGGGGAGCCATCCTCGTTCCTCTTCGGTCCCTTATAGCCTGGAAGAGGATAAGGAGCATCACTTTCCCAAGCTCTGAAGTCCTCAGGTTTGGTGGAAGGAGCAGGGGGAAAGGGTTAGGCATTTCTATCTCAAACTATAGGCCCATTTGAGGACTGTGAGCAGAATGTCCCCTCTGTTCCCAGTGCCTAGTACAGTGCCTGAGAAGTAGGTACTCAATAAATAGTGAAGTTACTTACAAATCAGTAAATCAAAGAACAAACTTAGCAGGTTTTAGTGTCAACACCCAGGAGTGTCAATGGCAATGGGTCACAATGTATTTTTCTTCACTGTGGATTTCTAAGACATTTATTAGGTTAAATCAAATTGAACAAAGTTTTAGATAATTCTTCCATTTATTATAAATAATTTCTCCTTCAAATTTAATTTTATTTTAAACTTACTTAGGGAATTGCACACTGAGTTATAAAGACACATTTAACACTAATACCTGATATTTTTACAAAATTTTAGCGTTTCCAAACTGGTCAGTGTTATTATCTTCTTTCATTTGAGTTGTGGCAGAGGACGGTTAAAAGAAAATAGACTTTAGAGTCAGAAAATGTGGCTTCAAATCCCAACTCTAACATTTGCCATCCATGTGGCTTCGACCTTTAGATTTCAGTTTTGTCATCTGCAAAATAGGGGTATGTATACTGTCCTCATGGTCCTGGAACCTACCAGGCAATGGATAAATGACAGCTCCTATTATTATTGTTACTCCTATTACAATCACCATGGATTCATCTGGTATCACTGAAGAAAGAGGTGAACAGTATCAGCTCCATCAAAATAAAAGAGGAAAAATAAGAGTAAGCAAATACACTCGGAGACTACCTGACTATTTGCCCCATAGGAGCAACAGCAAGCAGTGTTAGAAAAGAAAAAACAAAGCTAAAGCCAAAAATAAGGTTATTTGCTAATATTGGCTCCCCATAATTACCTTCTCAGCTTCCTCATTTGGATTAGAATGGTAAATGCCAACCTGCTTGATCGCCAAAAGCACTAGTGGGAATTGAAAAAAAAATACAGATTTCTGGGCTTAATCCATAGAGATTCTACTTTGGCTCATGCGGGTTGATGCTCCAAAATATCTGTGTGTGTAGAATTCTCTACAAATGTGTAATCATCAGTCAAGTGTAGGTACCACTGGAATAGGTGATTCCCAAGGGCAAGCCTGTAGCCTTCTGAGTTACTATATATTTTGAGCCTGCTTGGAAGAGTTGCCCACTTTCAAGAATAGTTTTCTTCTCTATTAGGGGTTTGCCATCTTATCAGTCTCTGGGCAGAAGTGACACTTAGGCTGAGGGTTGTGCTGAAACTCCTTTAGAAGTTACTGAAGAACATAGAAAGTAGATGAGGGAAAG